GTCTATGTATACAATGGAATATTACTCAGCCATTAGAAATGACAAATACCCACCATTTGCTTCGACGTGGATGGAACTGGAGGGTATTATGCTGAGTGAAATAAGTCCATCGGAGAAGGACAAACATTATATGGTCTCATTCATTTGGGGAATATAAATAATAGTGAAAGGGAATAGAGGGGAAGGGAGAAGAAATGGGTAGGAAATATCAGAAAGGGAGACAGAACATGGAAGACTCCTAACTCTGGGAAACGAACTAGGGGCGGTGGAAGGGGGTGACTGGGTGGCGGGCACTGAGGTGGGCACTTGACAGGATGAGCACTGGGTGTTATTCTGTATGTTGGCAAACTGAACACCATTAAAAAATAAATTTATTATTAAAAAAAAAAGAAAGAAACACAATTTACAGGGGACAGATGCATGGAAGGGTGCAATACTGTATTGCAGTGGAAGTACCAGAGCCTCCAAGGGTGTAGGCAGAAAAGCCAACAATGGGTAAAATATATATTTGGAAGTAAAAAGGAAAACTGGAGTATAGTAAGGAAGCTTAAAAAGCTACCTGTGGCTTAATGAACTTTCCTTCCATCACTCTTTAAAATTACAGTTGTTTCTGAAACTAAAATCCAGATCCCCTTGGCTGAATTTTAAGTTTTCCAGAGCTTTTATCATTGCTGTCTGGAAGAGCAGGAAGGGATGCTAAAAAAAGAAAGAAGAGGAAAGAAAGAAAACAGAAAGAAAGAAAACAAAGAAAAAGATGCTATCATACAGGAAATGAAAATGAATCAATTTTGTGATGGCATCTGCTACTTTCCTTTAAATGTCACAAGAGTAACAATAGTAGCTTTATACTCAATAATTTCATATGCTGACAAGCATCTTTACAAAATTAACCATATTACCCACTATAATTAGCTCTCTTGCAAGGTTAAATAATATAAAATTGAAAATTACTGGGTGATTACACTACAATCATACCAATTCTAAGTTTCTGAATGAACAAACTCATGGACACTATATGGACACTTGGCAAAGGACAACAAAATAAGCACAGAAGCAATGAGTGAGGGGACCTAGAGGACTAAATTTGTTACAAACATGAACACTGATTAATAGCAGGTTATGCTAAGTATAAATCTGAAGTTTTAACTGGCAATTGCTGTTATACTATAACTATGTATATCCAGTGCACAGTACATGCCTTGGGGCAAAGTTAATTGCAGGAAATTTCACAAGTAACTCCCTGCTCCTTACTATATTATATAGTAGAAGTGTTGAAACAAGTTTTGGTTGCCAGGCTAAGCCTTTTGGTTTTTAGCTGAGTATTTGTGTTAACATGCCAACTTTCTCCTGTTAGTTGTCTTATATTAAATTAGTTTTTTTTTTTTTTTTTTGTCCTTTGAACTAAGATTCTCTCAAGAATCACAGCAGGAAACTAAATGACTCCAAATTCACCAATTACAGACTAATCTTCAATGCCAAAAGCTTTAGCAGTTTGCAATAAAAATTCAGTTTCGACCTCAGGATCAGTTAAGCCTAAAAGAAACTTCAAGGTCATCTTGTACCAACCATCTCTATGTACTTTTATATAAATTGTAATTACCTGTTCTAAAACTTTCCATGAAAAAAAAGTTGAATTTTCTTGAGTAGTAGTTTGGGTTTGAACAAAATGTCAGCACAATTCTTCCTTGTTGAGTATATCTTAAGTAGGCTCCACACCGAGTGTGGAGTCCAATATGAGGCTTGAACTCATGACCCTGAAATTAAGAGTCAGCTGCTTGGGGGATCCCTGGGTGGCGCAGCAGTTTAGCGCCTGCCTTTGGCCCAGGGCGCGATCCTGGAGACCCGGGATCGAATCCCACGTCGGGCTCCCAGTGCATGGAGGCTGCTTCTCCCTCTGCCTGTGTCTCTGTCTCTCTCTCTCTCTCTGTGACTATCATAAATAAATATTTAAAAAAAAAAAAAAAGAGTCAGCTGCTTAACCAATTGAGCACCCAGGTGCCCTATGAGTATTTTTTGACTACATTCTAATAATACTTGGGTTCTTGCACTTACCTACAATGTTAGTGTTGTCTATGTTTACGTATTATGGAACACTTAATGGTAATTCATGCACATGTAATAGGGAAATAAAAGTTCACTTTGACCAATGTAGTTTAATCCTTGTTACTTACTAAATGCTTTACAAAGCAATGCTCTACTAACATTCTATATATGGGATGAAATCTTAATTCATGTTGGGCTTCTGTTCTGAATCTCATAAACCCTGCTGGTAAGAAAGTAAAATGGTACAACCACTTTGGAAAACAGTTCCGCAAATGGTTGGCCAGAGAATTACCACGTCACCCAGCAATTCTACTCCTAGATAGACACCCAACAGAAATGAAAACACACGTCCACATAGAAACTTGTGCACAAACATTTATACAGGCATTATTCAAAATGGCCAAAAGGTAGAAACAACCCAACTGTCCATCATCTGAGAAGTGGATAAAAATGTGATAGCTATAAAATGGAATATTATCTGGCCATACAAGGTATGAAGTACTGATTCACACTGCAACATGATGAATCTTGAAAACATTATGGAACTGAAAAAAGCCAGTCACAAAAGACCACATATTATATATCCCATTATTAAAAATTCCAAAATAGGCAAATCTATAGAGACAAAAAAGTAGAATAGTCATTGCCTAGGGTTGGGGAGGAAGGTTAGGCGGATGAGGAGGTGAGAGCTAAAGGGTAAAATATTTTTTCTTTTTAAGGTGAAGAAAATCTCCTATGATGAAAATGTAGTAATTGTTGTATATAACTGAGTTTGCTTAAAAACTGTCAAATTACGTGCTTTAAATAGGTGAATTTCATGTATATGAATTATAATTCAATAAGCTGTTATTTTGGGATCCCTGGGTGGTGCAGCGGTTTGGCGCCTGCCTTTGGCCCAGGGCGCGATCCTGGAGACCCGGGATCGAATCCCATATCGGGCTCCCGGTGCATGGAGCCTGCTTCTCCCTCTGCCTGTGTCTCTGCCTGCCTCTCTCTCTCTCTCTCTCTCTCTCATAAATAAATAAATTTAAAAAAATAAGCTGTTATTTTAAAAAATCTGTTCTGTGAATGTAAAGTACTTGATAATCAGCAAATCTCTTCCACAAAGCTCTTCTGGTCAACAGTAAAAGAATTAGCTCAAGTCCAATTTACTTTACTGTAATTGGAACCAGCTCACAGTATTTTGTTATGTACATTTCTAAAATGTGAATGCAGTTTAAGAAAATACATCATTACATCAGCTATTCCAGGCAGTCTGCCATGAGACATTTTTACAAAAAAAAAAAAAAAAAAGAAAAAAATCTTAAAAGGAATCCATTTAACCAACCTCAGAATATATGTTCTTTCTTGTTGCCTCATCTCCTTATAAGCCATCATATTCCTAAAATTCTCATGCTTAACAATACTAGGCATGATTTAGTTATTAACTCAACAAATATCTGAACCCTTATTGTACACCACGCACTGCTTTAGGCACTTGTATACCTGTGTACACACACATACACACAAGTACCTGCTCTTGTGGAGCTTACAATCTAGTAAGATAAAGAATAAACAAATGTTGGTTTTAAAGATAGGTTTTTAAAAAACAGAGTGCTATGCTATGGAGGAATGTTGTTTTTGATGGAGTATTTAGGAAAGGAGGCTTCCCTGAGAGATGTTTGAGGTGAGAAAAGAAGGTACTCAGCCATACAAAGACCAAGGAAGATAACTCTAGGCAGAGGAAATAATTATTGAATGGCAGAATCAGGAGAAAAAAAAACCAAAACGAAAGAAGGATTAACCATATTTTGCCTGTGACAAGCTTCTGCTGTGAATCTCATGCACCGTCCTCATACAGGTATGTCTGGCAAAGCGGCTTGCCAAGTGTGGCTGCAATAAGATGTCTCACTGTTCAATAAGAAAGGTCACCTCTGGTTAAGTCCTGCTTAAAATGATCTTCTTGGACATCAGCGGTTTATTATGTGTACCTCCCATTCTTTCACTACACATGGGTACAAGGTGCTGTATAAGAAATGCTGGGACACAGAGAGCAATCAGATACGCACTTCAGTTACTCCTATGGCAGATATAATCTAGTGGCACAAAAAGGTAGGCATGAACAACACACATAGCTAAAAAATAAAAGTGGGACACAAAAAAGAGATAAAAAATGTAGGAGCGTGCAGAGATCGCCTGCAGCTAGAGCATCAGGGGAAGCCTCATGGGGTGAGGGCATGAGAACAAAAAGTCCTGAGAATTTGGACATGTTCGGGAATACAGATTGGTTTGCTGTATCCCTAATTAAGTATATTTCAAAATATTTTTAGCACCCCAACCAAGTTACAAGCTCAGGGAGAGAAGGCCTGATAGTCCTTACATCTCCCTGTGATACTTAGCATTGTATCATGCATGTGTTGATTCATCATAAGAGAGGAGATGTTGATTTATCATAAGAGAGGAGATGCTGATTTATCATAAGAGAGGAGATGTTGATTTCAGCACTGAGGCAAGGCTAGATTATTATTTGCTTCATAACGAGGCTTTGGGCTTCAAAACAGAGGACTTCCCAAACCTCTTAATACACCATTTCACATCACAGGGACATTCCTAGAAGTTTTTTCAAAATTCAAAGGTTATGACAGGTAAACAGACATAGTGTGCTTCTGAATATATACACATAAAATGTTTACATGTGTATTTGTATGTCTACATACATACATCACTATACCTTAAGTTCAGAATCTCACAAGATTATTTTAAACTTCTGCTGCTAAATCAAAGTTTATACTTGAGAGATAATATATTTTTTTACTGATCAAACTTTCCCATCCAGGCCCTCATAATCCCTTCCCATTCCCAACAAAACATCTTAAACCTGAGAAGAAAAGCCAAACAACATTTTTTAGGCAGTGTCTCAACATCTCTAAAAAAAAAAAATATATATATATATATATATATTCCATGGCCAAACTCACCATAGAGAGCTGTCCAAGTTTGATTAATTACATCTAGACACACAGTTCCTGACCTGAAACAGATGGAAAGAATGGCATTTTTTTAAAAATTAGAAAGCTAGTTGCATGTATCTGGCAACTAATTTTATTTATCAAGAAAAGTACTTTTAATAGATCAAAAACAAAAAAAAAGAAAAAGAATCCCAATTAGGGAAAGTATGAGGAGGAGCAGAATATATACAAAGTCTTAGTGTTTCCTGAGAGACTGAAAGGGAAACCAGTGACTCAACAATGGAGAAACCAGACAACACCTTCAGCAGGTGAGAATTCACACCGACAACCAGGAGGTAGACAAACCTATGCCTCCCCAGGACTGTGAGGACACAGTCACACTTTGTGGTTTTCCGGGCCTTAAGTGCATCCTCGGGATCTAATGAGGAGGAAACCCCAGACAGCCCCGAACTGAGGGACAGTCTCTAAAACAACTCATCTATTTTCTTTTAAAAATGTCAACTTTAAAAAAGCTGAGGAACTATTCCGGATTAAAGTAGTTTAAAGAAACATGACAAGTAAATGCAATACATGGTCCTGGGCTAGACCCTTCGCTGGGGTGGGGAGTGGGGGGGTTAAAAAAAAAGGTACATTGCTAGAATGTGGCCACAGATTAAAAAGTACTCTATTGATACTCAATTCCTGAACCTGACGACTATACCGTGGTTACAAACAAAACATTCTTGTTATTAAGATGACTGATACACAGAAGCATAAAAAGACAACGAGGCATGACGTGTGTGTACAAGCTATTCACACAGAGTTCAGAATATCTCATGTATATGTGTATGTAACAGTAAAATTTAGATGCTGTGACAAGGAAAAACTGCAGAACAAAAAATCATGTATTGCAAACAGCATCAGAAGTACATAATAGGAGGCATTCGTATCACATTTTAAAATATCACTATAAAATATTAGAAGGAAAGGGTAAGTAAGATTCATTAACTGAAATGAAACTACAGCCATTCATGTTTGCTTTACTCTCAAGAACTAAGAAACACTGTAAGGGCTGATAATAGTAAATCTGTATGCAGAAAACTGATCTCTGAATTGTGTCTACACAAAGAGAATGGAGATGTGGAATATTACAAATGCTAGCTAGTTATCAGAGGGAACGAAGGACCCACTCATGACAATGGAAAAACTAAGCAGCCCAACAGCAGAATTTGCACTAAGTGGTTTAGAATATCATAACCCTGGGACTCCATAGTTTAAGTGACCATAGAGTCTTGTTGATAAAATCTGAAAAGATAATAGATTTTTAAAAATTTAATAACTGAGAGAGAGATGAATGCTAGTAAGAGAGCAGTCACTGCTAAGATTTAAACATTTTTAAATAGTTACTTACGCTTCATCAATGTTGGGATGGAAAATTTTATTCATGAATCCTGTAAAAAGAGATGTTCATTAGCAGCAAAAAGTGTCCAGAGAACAATTCGTTTTCAAGTATTTCAGTACTAGAAACAATTTCAGTGTTGGAACAAGGAGATGATACCCATAACTCATTACTTTTAATCTTAGATGTTTGGTTACTGGTAAATTACATATTCTCCTGACAGCGTCAATTACTTAAAACTTCAGAGTTCTATTTAAAAAATGAGTAAACTGAGAGCAATGCAGCTTCTTATACAAAATAATCAGAGAAACTGTTTTCTGAGCTATGAAGGTACTTGCCAAGAAAATTTGTAGTACTAAATGCTGACTACCTTTATCAGAAAGTTAAGAAAGCTACTCTGACTTTCCTCCCAAAGGTTTTATTGTTCAGTCTCTAAATTTAGAGGTCTGCATTTGAACTTCTCCTTCTGAAGTTCAGTTACTGGTATCATACTGCTACACTGTATGCGGAACATGAATGAAGCTGTTGAAACACTAAAGGAGTGCCACTTCCAAACCACAAAGGATTTCATAAGAACAGTGACCAAAATATTTCCTTTAACTTTAGTCTACTCATTCCAGGAAACCCAGTTTTGATTAAAATTGGGGCAACCAAGAAATGAGGCAAGGAGTTAAAAAAAAAAATCTGTCAGATAGCTATATCTGTCAGGGATTCAAGTTTTTTGATTTATTCCTAGAAAAACAAGCCAAGACTTTAACATACACATTTTCTACGATTTTATTTTTAAATAATCTCCACACCAACATGGTACTCAAACTCACGACCCCTAAGATCAAGAGTCGCACGCTGTACTGACTGAGCCAGCCAGGCATCCCTAGACTTTTTTTTTTTTTTTTAAGATTTTATTTATTTACTCATGAGAGACACACACAGAGAGGCAGAGACATGGGCAGAGGGAGAAGCAGGCTCCACGCAGGGAGCCTGATGTGGGACTCAATCCTGGGACTGCAGGATCACACCTTGAGTCGAAAGCAGGCACTCAACTGCTGAGCCACCCAGGTATCCCTAGACTTTAATATATTGACATTTAAATTCCAAGAAGAAATTAATTTTTCTCTAATTAAAACCAGTGATTTAATCACTTTGTGTATATGCAAATGACAATGTGCTAAAAACAGAGGTCCACTGTCAAAGCTGTCATCATCCTTATCTCATTTCAAGACTTCCTTATTCCATTTCATACTTTAAATAAGTTGAAGTTCCCTATAAAAGTGACCATCATTATTGTCCTTCCCAATCTCACCCTCCCTCACCCCTACCTCATATTTCTCTTTCCTTTATTCAAAATGTATTTGGTCAACACCTATTTGTCAGGCATGAGCTTGTTCAGAGTACAAGTAAAGCAGTACACTATTCTCCAGGAGGTCACCGCAGCAGTGGGACAAGACACAAGGAAGTAAGTGCAATGTGCACAAAGAATGGACACAGCTGAGGGCATGAGAAGGGGAAGAGGAAGATATCAGGGAAGATGTAGAGAAGTGGCTTCGGAAGAAGATCCTCAAGGACAAGTTCCAACAAAGGTCATCTCAGGAAATCTAAGAAAGTTCTCTAGACTTAGGAAACAAGGATAAGACAAAATATCAGGTGTTCCAGTCTTTGTTTGCTCTAGTCACTCCAATACTATGTTTCTAATTTTGTTTTTTAACTTTTTTGTGTTGAAGTAGCTTCATGTTTTCTCAATTGCTCACGCAATGTTTAAATTACTAATGCATAAGAAATGCCTTGTGTCCAATTACTATTGCATATTAATTTTTCATTAAGGAAATAAGATGTTTCCAAGTCTAGATTTAAGAAGTATGTGTTTATTGAAGAGATTAAACTAAGCCAATACAAACGTTCATGTCTTAATGTTAGGAGGATAAAAATTCTGTATGACCCTAGGAAAACACTAATAAATGTATCTAAGAAGACCCACAAGGATATTTGTTCTAGCACTATTTATAAAAAAGCCAAGAACCAGATGCAATCCTATCCAAAGGGACTGGAGAAACTATAGTAGATCCATACTGTATATACTGGGAGTTTTACACAGCTAAGGCAATAAACTAGATTAAGTATCAATTTGGATAGACCCATAACTGAGGACAGGAAAAAAAAGGTTGCGGAATAATATATACAGCATGATATCCTATAGATAAATTAAAACAAAGCAATACTATCTGTATCTATGGTAACAAGTATAAAAAACTGTACTGGACCAACATATACCAAACTTAGAAAACTGTTTCAGTGAGGGTGCAGGGTCAAGGTCATGGTGTGAACGGGGAACAGAATAGGAATGGTGATTAAGATGAATCCATATGTAATACTATACTCCTTTTAAGAAGAGGTAATGTGCTTGTATATTATTTGCTCTTGGTTTTTTCTTTTTTTTTAAAGTGTGCATACAGTTAGGAAACTAGAAGCAAACATATACAACTGTTAATAGTGTGTAATTCTTCATGGAGGGAATACTTTCTTCATTATACTTTTCAAATTACATCACCACCCTGCTCCTCAATTCTGTACCAGAAGGTGGATCACAGCAATGTAAAAAAGCTAGAAGGAAACAACCAAGTGTCAATAGTAGTCAACTTTGAGAGACTCCCACATTATTTCTACTATTCCTCTTCTGACTTTCCAAAATTTCTACATTGTGTAATTTTAATAGTTGGGAAAAAAACCTTCCAAGCTAAAAAATTGTAAACAGTAAACATTCTAAAGTGACTTAATTATACATAGATTATCTAGTGCTGAATCATTTTAAGGAAAAGAGTCAGTCACTATTATCAACTATTTTTTTATGTCAAATCTTACATACCCTTGTTTAAATATTCTGAATTCATTACCAAAAAAAAATTAAAAATATTCAGGTTATATGGTATGTGGTCCTTAATATCTGTTACAAATAGGAATATACTGCTATCACAATTGCCAAGAAACTTTTTTTTTTAATTTTTATTTTACTAGCTCTTCTTCAAGGCTCTTCCTTTACATCTGACTTTCTGATCTATATAATGTTCCTTCTTTCTAAAGAACTTTTTTACTTATTTATTCATGAGAGACACAGAGAGAAAGATAGAGACACAGGCAGAGAGAGAAGCAGGCTCCATGCAGTGAGCCCGATGTGGGACTCGATCCCATGACTCCAGGATCACGCCCTGAGCCAAAGGCAGACGCTCAACCACTGAGCCACCCAGGTGCCCTGCCAAGAAACTTTCTGATGAGTGGGAAACATTATTAATGTTTAGCCACTAGATGGTTTAATTTAAGAGATTCATTCTATTATGTGAAAAGTATTTTGGCTTGAGACTACAATTAAGAACTTAAAATTCATTCTTGATGCTTAAAATCCTGCTTCTGATAGATTTCTCATGAGTAACACCTAGTGAAGCAACATCTATGGCAGAGGTCCCCAATGCTATGGGTTAAGAATCAACTAGAGAGTTCTTTAAAAACAGAAGTGCTTTGCTAGAAGGTGCCAAATATTATGGAGAAAAACACAGCAAAGAAGGGGACTCAAGATAGAAATGCTAAGGTGGGGGCTTCAGTTTTAAATGGGATGGTCAGGTGGCACCTGGGTGGCTCAGTTGGTTGAGCATCTGCCTTCGGCTCAGGTCATAATCCCAGGGCCTTGGGATGAAGCCCTGTGTCAGACTCTCTGCTCAGTGGGAGCCACCTTCTCTCCCTCCATCTGCCTGCCACTCCCCCTGCCTGTGCTCTTTCTCTCTGTCAAATAAATAAATAAAATCTTAAAAAAATAAAAAAATATGTGGGATGGTCAGGGAGGGCCTTATGGAGAAGGTGTCAATTCAAAGGAGATAAGAATCATTCAGTATCTAGGGGATGAGTATCTACAAAACATGAACGACCAAGTACAAAACGCATCAGGAGTTCACCTGATGTGTTTGAAGACCAGTGGAGAGACTTGTGAGACTGAAGTACAGTGAAGAAGGAAAAGCCTGGAAGTAAGGTCAGAGAGGTGACGAGCATTTGTGGGCCCTTTTGAGGATGTGGATTTTCATTGAGTGAGGTGGGAAGCCAGAGGCTTAGCTAGAACAGTGACACATAACCATCCCTCTCTGAGATTTTTGTTTTCAACAAAAGCCTGATCTCTCTCTCTCTTTTTTTTTTTTTTGATCTCTCTTTTTTTTTTAAAACATTTTATTTATTTATTCATGAGAGACACAGAGAGAAAGAGAGAGAGAGAGGCAGAAACATAGGCAGAGGGAGAAGCAGGCTCCATGCAGGGAGCCGGATGTGGGACCCGATCCCGGGACTCCCGGATCACGTCCTGAGCCAAAGGCAGACACTCAAACACTGAGGCTCACCCAGGTGCCCCAGTGCTGGGGACAGAACAGAGACCTCAAGCAAAATGGAGTGGGCTGTGTCTCCTACATCAAGAATGAAGCTTCAACAGTTTGATGTCACAGGAAACCTCAGAGGTTGAAGACTAGAAAACAGCCAGGGTCAAAAAAAGCTTTCAATGTTTATTACCAAAACGGTCTCTGAAAGATTAAGATGCCTCCCTCCTGGTACCATGCCTGGAGATTACATTTGGAATCAATGAAGTTTCCACAATGTTTTCAATTAAGTCAAAATTTTGGCTTGGTTGAATCCAAGAGTATGTAACAGAGAGGGCCAAAAAAAGGACTTAGTAATAAATGGGTTGGAGCCCAGTCCCCAGTGCCCCTGCTAAGTATGAAATATCATCTAAGATCTGAGATAGAGGGCAAAAATCAGGCTGGAAAGAGAAAAGTAACAAGGACTTGAGTTCTAGTCCCAACCCTACTATTATTTGCAGGCCTTGGGGCAAATCACTTCACTTCTATGGGCCTGTTTCTTTACCTGAAATAGTTGGACTGTATGATCTCCAAAATCTCCATTCTTATTCTGTTAATAAACTATCAGTTCTAAAAATCCAGGATTTAATAATAACAATGGCCAGAGCTCTGACAACAGAGGACTTTAGGTCCCTAAAGGAAATTAATTCTGCAAGGCAAAATTTTAGGT